TGAGGATTGAGTCCACAAACCAGGCATGTGCCCCGACCAGGCATCGAACCCGGGACCCTTCAGTCTGCAGGCTGACGCTCTATTCACTGAGCCACACCAGCCTGGGCTGGACTCTCCTTGCCCACCATGAACTGGAAGAAATGGTGTGACTCACGGGGCCACTGGGCGGCCTCCGTACCCGTCCCTGTGAGAGCCGTTGGCGCCAGGTAAGGCTCAGGCGAGGTGCCTCTGCCCGGGACCCTGCCGCTCTCGTCCTCCCGGGGCTTTGGAATAACCGGGCACTTTGCTCCGCCAGCACCGAAGCCACGGGCCACCTCGGCCAGCCTGCATCCTGACTGGGAGACTTCTGTCTCTACCGCGGCTGTTTGGGAACCTCTGGCTCCCCCGGGGTGACCGTCGCCCTCCGTCGCCGCCCCCCATCCCCCCAAAGGTCAGGGCACTTACCAGGATCTCTTTCTCCAGCGGGGAGTACTTCCCGGGGGCGATGCTGGGGTCTGATGTGTGGAATTTGGTCCATGTCCTGGGAGGTGGAGAGGCAGGTGCATTAAAACTCTGGGAAAGGCCCTGGCCAGTTGGCTCAGTGGGTAGAGCATTGGCCTGGGGACCAAAGGGTCCCGGGTTCGATTCTGGTCAAGGGCATGCACCTCAGTTGCAGGCTCCTCCCCGGCCCAGACCCTGGTCGGGGTTCGTGCAGGAGGCAACCCGTCGACGAGAGAGAGGAGCTGAAGCCCATGGGCCGCCCGTGCCCCGGGCCTGGCCTCGGTCTGTTCTGACTGCCAGGCTGTGGCACCGTGGTGCGTGCCAGTTCAGGCTGGACTTCAAGGCACCTTGCAAACTTCCATTTACTGTCTCGGATCCGGCCATGGCCTGTGAACACACCTGCCAGCCTGCTGGGGGGCCACCTGGCCCCGGCACTCCCCTCAGCCCCAGCTGATCGCTGTCAACCCGTAAGGCGCTGACTGCAGCCCCCGGGCGCCCAGCAGAAACCAGGAGGACCGCCCGGCGGATCTCCCTAGGTCCCTCAATCCCTGACCTACTTTGTGAGTCCCAGAGTTGAGTGATGGCAACTGTCTATCACGTCTCCATCTTGAGAGTGACCAAGCCATTTTTCCTTCTCCCCACTTGTTACCCTATCATGTTAAAGGGGCTAAGTTCCAACCAATTTCCCAAGTCAAAAACTTGGAAGCCATCCCAGACCTCTCCATTAGTCCTC